GAGGGCAGGCCCTGTCTCAGGTACCCCTCTAACATGAGCGGTGTCCCGGCAGCCAGCTTCCATTCCTGCCTGCTCTTTCTCTCCCCCCCCCCCTCTCTCCTCTTCCTTCTCCAGCCTCTTCTCTCCCTGTTTCTACTCTGCTACTCTTAAGTCACTTCGTTAGGAAGAGATTGACAGTCCCTTGGGGAGGACTCCCTAAACCTGCAAGTGACTGTCCCTCTGCCCACCCACACATATCATGCCCTGCATGTTTGCATGTCGATACCCAGAATGCCACACTTATCACACCAGAATCGCAGGCCAGCTTCTGGGGCTGGGAGTTGGCAGAGCTAGTTGTGCCTTTGAGGGCAAAGTGTTTCCTTTCATCCCGTGGAAATTGGGGATGAGTTGCTTCACCTGCAGCTGCAGTCCCCTTGACACAGTCCTACAAACACGGCTCAAGCTGGCACAAAGCTACAAGAAACCCAGATGCACTAAGAATCCAAAGAGTAATGTTCTCTCTGATATGTGAATGCTGACCCACAACAACGGGGAGAGGAAGAATAGAAGTTCAGTGCAGAAGACCGAGGGGAATACAGGGAAGGGAGGGCAGAGGGGAATAGGAAAAACAGTGGACTGAATCTGACATAACTTTCCTATGTACATAAATGAATACACCATCGTGAATCTCAACACCATGTACCTCCACAAGACTGGGGTCCTAATTAGAATAAGACATAGTCCATGTTTGTATAAATATATCAAAATAGATTCTACTGTCATGTAGAACTAAAAAATAAAATAAATAAAATTGAAAAAAAAATTGGCCAGCTTTCAAGATCCCCACACCACTCACCAACTCCATCCACCAACATAGCCCCCATGTTCCTTCTCAGATAAGCCTTCAAGAAAGAGTATGACCCTTCTTGACCATTATGGCCACAGGAGAACCTTCTTGAAACCCAGATTGGGGGCCTTTTCTGCCCATCTTTACATAATTTCAGTGGGAACAGTCTCCACTTTGGGTTCAGAGAGAGCAAGCACTTTGCCATAAACCACACAGGCACCATGAAACCCCAACCTTGACCCAGTGTCTTGAAGTTCCCCCCAAGTAATGAGCTTGAGAGGAATCAGTTCACAGCCCCCGAGAAAAACTTGGGGGAAGTCAACTTCTCCAGGTCAGAGAGGAAGACAGAGCTGAACATCGGGTAGAATAAGCATCAGGACACCCAAGAGAATAAACGTAAGGGACCATGTCACAGGCGGATGTGCATGGGGGGAGGAAGATGGGCGTCCTGGAAAAGGAAAAGGAAGAAACGGCAAACTGAACATCGCTCCATGTTCGACATCATCCAAGTGATTTTTCTGGGGCAGAGTAAGTCAGATCTGTTCCCACCCCTACAGGAATATCCAGTACTGTCCATGACTCAAGCAACTGTTTAATAAGTCAATGGTTCATTCATTCAGTTAAGCCCGCCATGCGCACTCTGTGCCTGGTACCACGTGGTAGTGGGGACCCACAGAGGAACAACCTCAGGTGGCCAGCAAGCCCCTTTCCTGCCTACCGTATTCAAATGATTGCTTTCTAGACGTGGGGGATGCATCCCTGGGTCACCCATGCTCCCTTGTCAGGATAACAGTGCCCTCTGGAACCACACTGCTTCCACTCAGGAGTAGGCTCTGCTCCTTCCCAGGGTGAGGACCTTGGGTGACTTTCTTGTCTCTGTGCCTCCTCGGCTTCTTCATCTGAAAAATGGAGCTAACAACAGAACGTGCCCTGGGAGCTCAGATGAGCCCTGGCTGAGTCGGCACAATGCCGCTCTGACGGTATTTGACACGTTCCAAGTGCTCTCCAACACCAGCGTCGTCAGCCTTGCTCCTGGCCACACCATTAGCACAAGTCACGGCCAAGCCCAAGGAAGCAGCAGCCCCTGGCCACAGACCTGAGCAAAGCTAAATGATTTTCACAGAAAACTAGACCAGGAATTTGGCCTCCTAGCCCGGGACTCCAACCAGATAAATATAGAAAAGCAAGCGTGTATGACGTCTAGAAGGCCCAGGGTGGGGTGGGGGTAATTTGTTTATTGGAATGGTGGTGGACCGGTAAATTGGGAGAATTTCAGATTTGAACTTGACATCTGAAAGATCTACTCCTGCTCCCTGGCTCTCAGCCACTGCATTGAGGTGGAGCAGAGGATAGGACAGATCACACAGACACAGAGAGATTTGAAGAGGGTGATCTGGTCCAGAACTAGGAAAGCCGGGGAGGTCACGGTAACTCAAGCTCCTGGGAGAGGTGATGGGTGACCACGGCTGAACGTTTTCACGACCTTGATGTCTTAGTGTCTTTCCACCTACCCTCCTCCATCCCAACCCTGAGGATGGGGTTAAAAAGAGGGATTGGGAGGGCTGAGTCCCAAATCCCAGGATAATCCCTTTCTCTGTTCTCTCATATTAGAAGATTAGGAGGAGAACACAGGTGCCCTTCGTCTGTGGATTCTGCAATTCTCCCACGTCCGCCTCAGCAGCCACTGAGTTCCCACCATCTCATGTGGCTAGAGAGGGGGCTGAGACCAGTATTTGACGGTATTTGACACACTCCAACCATGGCTGCATGAAACAAGACCTCTGTACCAACCCCCCTCCCACAGGCACTGCTCTGCCTCCCCTGTGAAGCTTGAGCTAGAAGGCAGTGATCGTGTGTGTGTGTGTGTGTGTGTGTGTGTGTGTGTGTTGCTTAGGAAAAATCAAAGATAAAGGTGAGACATACAGAAGAAAATCTCCCACAGATCTTCTATTCTGAAAAAAAATGCATGATTCCCACTCAGTTTTCTTAAATTCAGAAGACAATGATCAGAAGGATGTCAACTACCCAACAGATACAACCCATCTCCCTTCTGAAAGAAACACACTTTGTAAAAGAGATTCACTTGGACACCCTTGGAAAACTGAGGGATGAAAATGGGATATCGTGAGTAGAATTTTGGCATATTTCTTCCAGTTTTCTCCCTATAGATCTTAAAAAGGTACAAGAATCATCATACAATTCACACTTTCTTGGGTGATGTGATGTCTTCTTCTCCTTAACGTGTTACCACCAGCATTTTTCCACGTCCTGCACATTCTTCCCATCCAGCTTTCTCATAATATGAAGTGCAATCTGAGGACTGATTGTTGAAGAGGTTCAGTGTCATTCACAAAAGGAAAGGGAGGGTCAAAGTCACCATGTGTAAGCTCCTTTCTGCAGGGTCACTTCCAAATACAATATGGAAGGCAGTCTTTTCAGGTCCAAATAAAATAAGAGGGAAAGCAATGAAAACTGAAGCTGTAAGGAAAATTCTGCTGACTACAAAGATAATTATAAATGATTGAAGTTCCCTGGATCTTTCTGTCCAGGGTGAATTATGGTCAGCTCTTCCTAGACGCCAAGAGACACACAAAACGTGGCTCCTTTTACCAAAAGCATTTAGTATTTGACAATTCTTAATAGTCTTTTCTTCAGTTCCTGGTTTTTCTCTGATGAAATTAAATTCACATACATTCCCATTTCCAGGAACCACCAACCCACGTCCTAAACCTGTCCACCCTCTCTTCCTTACTGTCTGTAGGTTGGGCGTTGTGGGCAGCATGGAGAGGGCCCTAAAAATAACTGCTTTTCCTCTGGAATTGGGGGTTTGCTGGAAAATGTCACTCTTAGCCAGTGCTGGTACCTTCTGTTTCTGCCGATACTTAGCTTCAACCTTCCTGTTCTTGACAGAGAGATGACAGAGTAGACCTTGATAAAGCATCTAAAGTAGAAGTGTGCTGGCAGAACACACGGTCAGTCTCTGCTTGGTTGAGGGAATAACCTCTGGAGAGGTCAAGGTCCATTTAAGGACAGAGGTCCACAGAGAACAGAACCTTCCAACCTGAGATTGCCAACCGACTCTCCTTCTCTGGACCCTGGGGCAGGGATGGAGTTTCTAAGACCAATAGGAAGAGCAGTGGACTCTTCCTCCCTCTCCAGCCTCCACAGAGGCATCGGTGGTCACTAACGGGGTCTAAAAAGACCCATTCTGTGGGGTCTTCCCAGTGCCAGCAGCCTCTGCGGCTTGGGTGGAGTCTTGCCGTGGCCTACAGAACCAGGATGTGAGTGAATCAAAAAGGCAAAAACTTGACAGTCGCCACGTGGAAGGAAAAGAGCGTCCTCTCTTTAAGGCCCTTTGCCTGAAGTGCTGGGAGGAGGATGGAGAAGAATATTTTCACGGTCACGCAATTATCAATGGGGATTGGAGGAACGGACAGACACTGTTAATAACTGATGTCCTTCCTCTGTCTTCTCTGGAAAATCCTTCCTAACTCTGCTTCAGCTTCCAGTACCCGAGTTCTTCACCCAACTGCCCTTGGGTGACTAAGAGTTGGCAGGTGGTGGGGAATGAAGGAGGTCAAGCATCCAGATCATAGAGGCCCTGACCAAAACTGAAGGGGAAAAATGCTATTTCTTGCTCATAGAGCAGTAGAGCAATTTGGAAAGGTATGGGGTTCCCACCAAGCCCTAAGTGGTTGATAAGGGAGGTATGGTTCCTGTGGGGGAAAAGAAGTTGATGATTCTTTCCACCAATTTTTTTTTAAGTTATAGCATATTCCTGTGGTTTGGAGGTGGTTTTTCTTCCAGACCAGCTGGAAGCTTGGTCTCCAATGTCATGGTGTTGAGGTTCAAACTTTTAAGAGTGGGGTCCAGTGGAAGGTGGTTGGATCACGGGTGTGCCACACTCAGAAGGAATTAATGTAGTTCTTGTGGGATCCAGATTCCCTCCCAAGAGATGGACTGTCATACAAAGAGCAAGACTGTCCCCTCCCTTGTCTCTGGCTTTCTGCCTCACCCCTTGATCTCACTCTTTCACCCACACACCCACCAAGATGCCATCTGCTGTATTGTGATGGAGCAGGGGCCTCAAGAGAGCTGAGCAGGTGGCGGTGCCATGCTCTTGAATCTCTAGAATGATAATGATAATCTAAAGAAATCTCTTTTCTTTATAAAGTTCTCAGTCTCAGGATTTTATTACAGCAACAGAAAACATATACATACATATATATATATATTTGAAATAAAGGACTTCAAATTCCATCTTGAACACTCCTCCCTTCACAAATAAAGATATCTAGGTTCAGGCAACTAGATGGGCTGCCCAAAGTAACGTGGACCGTCAGGGCCAGAGCCAGGCCTACAGCCACCGTCTTCTGAATCCAGATGTTGAGTTTTTGTATTATCCAGGCTGGTATTCACACCATGTGCCACCCCCCACAGCCTCCCTGGGATGTGCCCTCCCCTGACACATCTCACTTTGGGTGAGGATTAGTTCCCATCCAGGAAACTGGATGCTGTTGTCTAGCCAAATGTCACACCGTAGGTAGAGAAGCATACATAGAGGGGACAGTGACCACAGAGGACTCTAGGGAAAGTCTAAGGGGGAAGGCAAACGGTTAGGAAACAAAGAGCAAAGACCTCAAAACATTCTGACTGGGAAAATTTGGACGCGTATGGTTCCATTGGAGGAAAAGCTAAAGGTGGGGTGCAGGCAGAGCCAGGAAACGCCGACACCCGTGCTCTGTACTCTGTCTTCCTTCTCGCGACCTTGTTCTCTCCGGGACACCAAGTTCTTCGTGAGAAACGCTTTCTTCAGGAAAGACTCTCATGGGCACATCCACACTGAGGTGGAGCTGACCGAAAATTCTCTCAGGTTCCACAGGACATCAGAGCCAGAAGGGACCCGAAGGGACCAGAATATTGCCATCCCAACCTGGAAAAGGAAATAGACAGAAGCTAAGTGATAAGCACCCTCGTTGCCGTCTACGCTGTGGGCCGAGAATGTAAATCAAAGCACTTGAAAACTGTCACTCAGAAGTACCCGCGGGCGCCACCTCCCTTCCCAGGAGAGCCTGGCGCAGGGAGGTGTCCCCAGGGCTGGATCCAGCGTCATTTCTCTCATACGTCCTTTGGGATGCTCTGCCACAGCCTTCACCTGGAGCCACATCCTGGTCCTCCCAAGTGTCTGGAACCGTGTTCCTTCCACGAGGCCGTTACCCCTTCTCTCCTGGAACTTGGCAGGAGTTGGGATGAGACAACACCCCCTCTCCTTTGCTTGGCCATCATGAGACTAAAACACCGAGCTCCAGTTATATGTGAATTAGAGAAAACGAAAATGAAATGATCATCTAGGCTGGACTCTGAAGGCGGACTCTCTCAGCATCTAAGGCTCAGGTGTTCACAAGAAGAGGTCGCGTGCAGGGCCACCATGTTGCACAACTCCTGGGGGCTCTGTGGATGTGACAGTCAGACGGTGGCTCTCCTGGCTTTGCCTTGTCCCTAAGTCAGCCCACCTGCACTCAGGTCACTCACATGTCCTCGAGAAGCTGCTCCTTAAGTATCCCTGTCCTGAATGCCTCCCTCCTTCAGGAAGCCTCTCTCTTTTCCCTACAGATAGGTCTCCGCTTCCTAAGTCAGTTCTGTTTCACTGTCTCAGGCAGAGCTCTTCACGCAGCCTACAGTCAGCACCAGGATGTTGGTTGCCTCTCAGGCTTAAAGATACCAGGGAAAGAAAGGTGCCAGATGATGAGTGACTAGAGGTCCCCGGATTCTCCCAACAGTGTTCTAAGACAGGCCTAAACAGGTGGGAGAAGGGTACATACGGGGTAAAGAGTCTTGCCCTACCCTTTTGGTCAGTTGAGTCCCATTATTGTACAAGCATTTGATTTTCCTCTCCTGTGGACAACCAGCCCCACAAAAGGGCTATATTGGGCTTGACTTGCCATTCCATCGAAGACCAACAATAACCTGCACAATTCCCCAGAGAGAAGAACCTCTCTCTAATACATGCATTTTTCACAGGGACAATATTGCTGTTGGATCTTAACTATTACAATAACTCATGATCTCTAAAGCATCACAGTATGTGAACAGACACAGAGTATATGGGGAAAGGAGGAAATGATAAAGAAATCAGTGTATACGAAGACTCCTAAAGGGAGTGGTAAATGGGAGAGCGGGGGTGTTGATAAACACCTCTCTAATCGAGGAGGAAAATGGATGGAGGAAAGTTTCTAATCCCTTATGTCCATAATAGTTATTATTATCACCACCACCATCATCATCATCAAAACATGTTATGCCCATCCCCTAAGTTAATCCCCCTAACAATCTTAAGGGCTAGTATGATTATACTCATTTAAGATGATGAAACTGAGCCTTAGAGGTATTGTCCAAGGCCACACAGCTAGTAACTAGCAAAGGCATGATTCTAATTATCCACGAACCTAGTTCATGGTTTCAACCTTCCTACATCATCAGCCCAGTAAAAGGGAGGTGAACAACAGTGAATCTCTAAATTCTTCCATTTACTCCATCAACCCAAGTCTGGCTCTAAGACCATGCACAACAGCAAGATCCTAAGAAAGGAGACACCTGGGAAAACTAGATTGGGATAGGATGGGAAGGGAGGCTAACTTAGCCTCTTCCTTCTAGTCTAGGAGGCACCCTGGGACTAGGGACCTTGAACCTGGGGCAGAGAGAGAAACGAGAAGAGGAGCATGGCCCCGGGGTGTGCTGAGCTACTGCTGCTGAAACCCCAGCATGGGCTGCAGCCAAGCCCAGGAGATGGGGTGACCTTGATGCAAACAGAACTTCCCTGGGCAATGATTCTGCAAATATAAACACGGACTCACCACATGATGGGTTCAACCAGTTCATGTAAACACTGAAGGGAGGAAAAAAAATTCAAAGAAAAAATACACTTCACAGAGATGGAGCAGGGGAGTTTTGTGACTCAAAAAAGAGAGGCAAGTGCAGGAATACAGAATTCTCTGGGCCTGAGACAAGGTCACAAGGGCACTTCCAAACCTGCACAAAGGGAACCTCAGCCCCCTCGTAGTGTGGGAAACCCTTTGTCAAGGGCAGCAAATCCACGTGTGGCTGGCTTTTCCCTACACCAAAAGCCATTGGGCTAGACTCCTGCAGTCCTGGAGCAGGATGCATTAGATGTCAGGACTTCCTCATTGCCAAGTGCCTTCCCAGAAGGAAGGGAACTCAAAACGGCTATCTAAGCTGAGGGACAGTTGCACTACTTGGAGGCAGGGGGATAGATGGAATGAACTCTGAAGAAAGAACACACCACTCCTCCCTGCCCCTACTGTTTGAGTGGCAAAGAGGACACCTTCCTCTGTAGCCCTGTGCTATCTGTGAGGATGCCAGCAGAGTCTCTGGGGTTTTTTGTTTGTTGTTTTGTTTTTGCAAACAATCCAGGCTGAATCTGTAAAAAGAGCTGCTCTCCAGAGCATTTGTAAATACCATGCTCTCCTGGGCCAGAGGGTTTTGACAGAACTCCTTCTCTGGCTTTCCAGGACACCTATTACCTGCAAAGAAACCAGCCACGGAGAAGGTCGGTCACAGGTCCCAGTAGACAGTGGGGGACATGATGCTCTGTATTGCTGGCATGGTCTCCCCAGCGTTTCCAGAAAGAAACACACACAGATACACACACACACACACACACACATACAGAGAGAGAGAGAGAGAGAGAGAGAGAGAGAGAGAGCTGTGGGAGCTGTAGCAATCAGGGCAGTCAAAGGTCCAAAGAGGGCTGCAGATGTCTCTCCCAGCCACATCCCTGCCCTGGAATTCATTCAGGGGCCAAGCCTCTTGCTGGCTCAGCAGGACACCTGGCCCATCTGGGACAGGAGGGAAACTGAGGGAAAGATACTTGGGCAGGCAAAGCCTAGTGGACACTGGAAGAGACTGGGAGACAGTCTAAAGAAGGAATAAGACAAGTGCTTTTCAATGTACATTGAGCAAACTCAGGATGCTCCATACAAGTCAGATGGATAATGGTAAGTCCCAGGGCAACAAAGATACTGGAGGCAACCCAGTCCAGGGGACTCCTAACTCCACCACGTCTCGGCAAATCACATGACTTCTCTTACCTGAGTTTTAAAATGGGATTAATAATAGTAGGCATCTCATAGAGCAATTATGAGCATTAAATGAGTTAATTTTTGTGAAGCTCTGAGAATATTTGAAATGCCTGGCAGATAACAAGCGTTATTAGCATTTGCTAAACAAACACAAGCTCCTATAAATTTGCCTAGGGTTTAATGCCAAAGGGCTCCTCTCCCTATTCTTCTTTTATTCATTCATTTGTTTGCTTAACAAATATTTATTGAGTGCCTTCACTGTATCCAGCTCCGTGTTCATACTGCCACTATAAAAATGAGCAAGACCAACCATGACTTCCCCCTCTTGGGGCTTAGAGCCTGAATATCATCTCTTTTGATTAGCTTTTCCTCTGGGTTCCTCCAGACTTCTGGCAGGTTAAACCGGCCCAGCCTAGATCAAATCTTGCCTGGGAGCACACGCCCCTGAACGTAGAATCTGAAAAGGAAAAATTGCTTATAGTTTTCCAGCTGCCCCAATCTTCAAGCACAGGAGAGAAAACCGCTGGAATCACCAGAACGAGCCCCAGGGTTCAGAAAGCAGATGAAGCAGACCAGACTGCCATGCTCAGCATCCACACCCGCCATGACAGAGCATCCTCCACTGCAGGGGTCCCCACCCCAGAAACTGCATGGCTCACGTGTCCGCTCAGTGAAGGTTTGGGATGTGATCTGGGATCTATTTCACCTGAAACACTCATTCAAGACTCTGAGTTGAAACCAAGTTGTGAGGAACGAGAGGACCTAAGTGGAAGGTCCATTTACCTGTAGCAAAAGCAGGTGGACCTGGGGCAGGTAGGAGTGGCGGCAGCTTTCTGAGGCCAGCAGAAGCAGCAGCTCCCATGGCAGCCACTCCTGGAGTCACAGCCTAGAATCTTCCTTCCTCCCTCCCAATGGGCCCATGATGCACATATACCACCTCACAAACACCTTTCAGCCAACACGAGCTGAAGTGTAACTAGAAGTGGGAAAACCCCGAAGAAGAACTGACCACTCCAGCCATGTCACTATGGGTGAGCCAAGCCCTAAATCTAAGAAGAAAATAAGAAAGCCATATTCGCTAGGTGCTGGAGACGGTGATATTTATTTAGTTATTCTTTGGCTAGAACCACCAGCAGTACCAGCCATGAGAATTTAACAAATCCCTCCTTGGCATTTTTTTTTAAAAATAGTAAACTAGGCAGAGAAAAAGTGAGAAAACTAAAAATTGGTTCAACCACTCTGGAAAGCAGTATTATGATGCCTCAAAAATCTAGGAATGGAATCACCACTTGACCCAGTTATCCCATTCCTCTGTACATATCCTAAGGATTCAAAATCAGCATACTACAGTGACACAGTCACATCAATGTTTATAGCAGCTTGATTCCTAATAGCTAAGCCACAGAGTCAATTTAAGTGCCCTTCAACCCATGATAAAGAAATGTAGTATATATGCACAATGGAGTATTACTCAGCCATAAAGAAGAATGATGTTATGACTTTTGCCAGTAAATGGAGGGATCTGGATACTACCATGCTAAGTGAAATAAGCCAAATCCCAAAGAACCAAAGATTGAATGTTTTCTTCTTTGATACATGGTAACTAACCCTCAATAAGGGAGGAGGATTAAAAAAAGAAAAAAGAAGAAGAGTAGTTCAGTGGATTAGACAAAAGGGGATGAAAGGAAGGGAGGGGGCATAGGAAAAGGAAAGACAATGGAATGATTCTAACATAACTTTCCTACGTACATGTATTCATACACCACAGCGGGTCTCGCCATCGTGTACATCCACAAGAAATTAATTTTTAAAAAAAATAACTATGGGTAAATAAAAGAGAGATCAGCAGAGAGAAGGGAGCAGGCTGGGGACTGAATTAGAACAAGATATAGTCCATGTTTTTAAAATTATGTCAAGATGGATTCTGCCGTCATGTAGAACTGAAAAGAACCAATGAATTAAAAAAAAAAAAACTGTGAAATCTCTTCTAACTGCCAGAGGATAGTGTCAGTCCTATTCTCAGGCTGATCCCCTGCTGTGAACAATAAAACTCTCTCTCTCTTCTAAGAAAGAAAGAAAGAAAGAGAGAGAGAGAGAGAGAGAGAGAGAGAGAGAGAGAGAGAGAGAGA